GAAGTTCTGAGAGATTCATTTCAACATTTACCCGTTCTCACACTCAACTCTCTAAATTACAGAATGTGTTTTAAGGGTGTTGCCCTCAAGTATACATATGCCAGTGCAGGTATACGTAAGATGCAGGTTCGACCCCTGGGTCAGGAAGATCCCCTGGAGGAGGGCATGGCAATCACTCCATACTCTTGCTTGGAGAATCCCATGGACAGAGAAACCTGGCGGACTATAGCCCATGCGGTTGCACAGAGTTGGACACGACTGAAGTGACTTAGCACACACACACACCATCAGGTAGAAATCTCTTTATGAATGTGCTAGAAAGCCATTGCCAACAACTCTGGTCAGCTTGTGTTTTCCCAATCTAAGGTAATCCTGAGATGTTTTCAGGACAAGTTTGCCCTGGGTTTTCTGATCAGATGTGATTATAAGGAAAGTTCAGATCCTAGAAAGAAAATTTTTAGAATGTCAAGTAGCATGTTAATTATTATTATTATTAACCATGAAATAGTCACCAGAAGAATGAGGTTCCAGTTCAATAAATATTTTTGTTACTTCATCAACTTGCTGATTAATAAGTTATGACTGCCAGATTAAAATCTTGAAGTTGATATTTTCCTTTAGGAAAAAAAACAGAGATGCAAGTCACTCTCTCCCATGCTCATTATAAATGTATACAAAAGACATCAGGGGAGAAATGATCTTAGGGAGAAGCGATGGATTCCACTTTGTCCAGAGGAGGCATTCAAGAAGATGTTGGCAGCTTGCAGTCTGCTGGTCTCTTCTTTTCTGGAAGCTCAGAAAAGCACTGCAGGTTAGGTGTGTGGGCTCCTGATTACTGGGCTTTGATGGTGACTGATACCATAAGAGCTGATGGGGTCACCCAGCCAACAGGTATAAACAGGAAAGACACGAGGACCTGAGTACCCTCCTGACATGGTCAGAGCGGGGAAACCAGAGAGGAGAGCCAAGGGCAACAGCTGTGCCAGGGCATCAAGGAAAAGGAGGGTATTGATTGGGAAAGAAAGTTCCGTTGTGTTTAAGGTTTCTGGGAAGCCGAACAAGATGAACAGTGAAGATCGACCATTGAGCTGAAGATTGACCATTGAAATTAAAAAAATAGAAAAGAAAAGGTCACTGGTGGCAAATAATTTGGTGGAAGCAAAGCGAAGTCTCTGGCTAAGATAGAGATTAGGAAGGAAGTGGAAACAGAAAGCCTAACAGCTCTTTTGACGCTTTTGGTTGTGGAGAGAAAGAACAGGTGCTTGAGGGGATGTGATGACCAAGGGAGGTTCAATGCTGTTTGTTATGAGGATCAAGGAATATAAGGGATTGAGATACTTTGAAAAGAAGGAAGAGATGGGGTTCAGAGGTAAAATGTCTGGCCATGCACTTTGCAAAATGGGAGCGTAGTTATTACACCTACTCTACAGGAAAGCAAACAGACAAAAGAATCTGATGCTCCAGAGAAAGCAGAACATGGATTCAATTCCTAGTCCTTGGGCAAGCTTCTTTATTTAGGGTAAAGATGATTATACCTACTGTAACGAGATGAGATGAGATCTGAATGGGGCAAGCGTGAAGTGCCTGGCACCCAGGGAGCACCCTAGATCTTGCCATGGTGCTGGTGGGGCAGCGCTTTGAGAAACTCATGTCCACTGAGTCGGTGATGCCATCCAACCATCCCATCCTCTTCGTCCCTTCTCCTCCTGCCCTCAATCTTTCCCAGCACCAGGGTCTTTTCCAATAAGTTGGCTCTTCACATCAGATGCCAAAGTACTGGAACTTCAGCTTTAGCATCAGTCTTTCCAATGAACATTTCAAGGCTGATTTCCTTTAGGATAGACTGATTTGATCTCCTTGCAGTCCAAGGGACTCTCAAAAGTCTTCTATAGCACCATAGCTCAAAAGCATCAGTTCTTCAGTGCTCAACCTTCTTTAAGGTCTAACTCTCACATCCATACATGACTACTGAAAATACCATAGCTTTTATTATACGTACCTTTGTTGGCAAAATGATGCCTCTGCTTTTTATTAAGCAGGATAATAAAGGCATATTAAGAACATCTCTATGTCCACAGACTTGATAACTTATACGAAATTGATGAACATCTTCAAAGATACAACAGTCCCCCTGTTTCAGTGATATCACATTGTGTCTCTTTCTCTCTGTTTTTTCTGTAATGTGTGTGCTGGACCCTCTTCTTTATGCTCCATTTACAAATGTAAATTTTTCTAAAGTTTGGCTTAGTACCAACCACTTAGGGAGGTATATTTACAGGTTTTTCCAGTGAGTGACTTTCCTTGAGTTTCCATCCTCAGCCCTTCCCTTCCCTCTGTAATATCAGGCCTCACTTATCTCACTATCAGAATTATAACTGTCAGTTCTATGGAGAGAGCGTGTCTTCATATATCTATATCTTCCATAACCAAAGTTCCAGCTTTAGATTTCCATCTGCCTGAAGGCTACTTCTACCAGAGTGGTCCACCGCTATCTCAGCTTAAGAGTCTATAAGCTAAACTCATCTTTCTTCCCTTCAGCTCCTTTGGACACTCTCCGGATGCCTGAATTCTGTTCATCGGGCTGTTTTTCACCAACATGAAAGTCTAAAATTTCAGATAAAATCATTCTTCCTTTTAAATTTCCCTTTAGTTTTGAAGTCCTGGACACTGTTTCTTTCTAATGACCCTGAAATCTACCTCATTTTGTTTCTTTTGCTTCTGGTTCAGGATTTCATCTTTCATTGAACAAATTCAACAGTGTCCTAAAATGTCTTCCTGATTTTTGGTTTTCCTTGCACAGGTTTATCCAAGAACCAAGTCCCAGAGCTAGAGAGAAGTGACATTTTCAGAAACTGAAGTTCATTTGGTATGGCTGGATTCTCTCATTCAGCCTCCTTTTCCCCTTGGATCATGCTCATACCCTAGCACCTGATTTTTGCATCTTCATTTTTGTTAACTTGGAATAAGCTTCAGAATTTACTTTTGAATAACCAGTTTTCTATGTCCCTCTTATATAATGGAAGTTAATAATAGGCAACTTTCTCTCCAATGAAATGATTTGGGTAGGAAGACTATGTCACAATTCTAGTGACAAATCCACTGTCATTAAAAATTGTACATCTCACTGACTTGAATGGATGCATGCCTTTGCCTCTAGTGATCCAACAGGTAACTGATTTTACCTTTATTTGAGCTCTTTGTTTCTTCTTTACATATGATGGCACCTAATAGAGATGTTTATGCTTGCCCAGTGAATTTCATTGATCACCTCTTTCTCCATCACAACCCTGAAGGGTCAGGTCATTTTTATTTCCTTAGAAGTCATAAGGATAAGTTAAAATATTATCTTTTTCAACTGACTCCCAGATATTAATAGTACCCATGCCCTTAGCTTTCATTGAGTGTTATCAGCTAGGGGTCTGTGGGAGGCAGGAGAAAACGGTAAAGGTATTATTCATCCCTCCAGATCCTCACAGAGTGGTGAGGCTGCCCGTGGTCTAGCTGCCCCCTTTTACTGAAGAGGGCATCTCCTCTTGGTGGCCCGCGTCCCCTCAACATCTCCATCCCTCCAGGTTCCAGCACCCACTTCCTCTCTTCGCTTTTCTGTCCTAAAGCAACCGTGGTTCTGCCCACTGTGACTGGTCTTGCTGAACTACACTACTCCTCGTGATCTTGTTGACGCAAAACTTCCTTTATACCGTTGAAAATAACCCCTTTATTAAGTATCCCTCAAACACCAAATTTGACTCTGCTGTCTGCTTTGTTTGGTCTCCCCAGGTGACTCAGCAATAAAGAATCCACCTGCCAAGAAGGAGACACGCGTTTGATCCCTGGGTCAGGAAGATCCCCTGGAGAAGGAAACAGCAACCTGCTCTAGTATTCTCGCCTGGAGAAGCCTGGTGGACACAGTCCAGGGGGCTACAGTCCCGACACAAAAGAGTCAGACATGACTGAGCGGCTGAACACAGTACATGCTTCCCTTGGGGACCCAGATGGATTCACTGACTTGCTATTAATATATGGCTTTATGTCATTTACTTAATTTCTATTGGCCTCAGGTTCATGATTGGTAGAGTAGGAGTCATATTTTTTCAGACCTATCTTTCAGAATTTTGTGAAAAACAAAAAAAGATAATAATTCATTCTGGGAGCAGGAAACTCAAAACTCCACATAATTACAGCCAGATAAGTGTAGTATCATAAAAGCGCATGTTTGCATAAACAAATTGGGAAATACAAAAGGCAAATTGGAGAACATGCTTGCCATATAAACAATAAAGACACTTTAAAATATCTAAAATGAGCTCTCGTAAATCAGTGTTATAAAACAGAAAATGAACCCAATAGAAAAATGGCTAACTGTAGTCAATAGGAGAGAAAAAACAAATGTATTTAGTATTATTAAAAGATGCTCAACTATACACCAAGTAAAAAGAAGACAAATTAAAATCACAATGAAATTTTTTTTAATCCATCAAAATGAAAAAGATCAAAACGTAGGATGATACATTCCTCTGACTAGGGTATTGGGAAATCAGAACTCTCATACTTCATTGACAGGGATATAAATTGGTACAACCTCTTTGGAGTGAAATTTAACAGTATGTAGTAAAACTAAAAAGTGCTCACATCCTCTGGGCCAGCCATTCCACTTTCAGAAATTAATTTTCTAGGTGTACTTATGCGAGTGAACAGAGATACAAGATCCCCTGGAGAAGGGAATGGCAACCCACTGTAGTATTCTTGCCTGGAGAACCCCATGGGCAGAGGAGCCTGGCGGGCTACATCAGGGTCGCAAAGAGTCAGGCATGACCGAAGTGACTTAGCACATAGAGCTATTCATGACAACATCACTTACAAACTCACAGGTGCAAAACAACTTCAGTTTCCATCATGGTGGGGCTACTGTCGACCTTTGACACCAGAGCCCGGATAAGCTGGAATGAATTTTCCCAATCTCTTCTTGCAAAGCTTCTGGATCAGGGCTCACCAAGAGAGACATGCGAGGCGAGCAGAGCAGAAGAGCGGCTCTGGGCTTGCAGGCGGGTGTGTGGCGGGTGGCCTGCATGCCGCGTGCGTGTGCGGCCCACTCACAGGAGTCACAGCTGGCCCAGCACAGCCCCTGCAGATCCGCCGCTTTACCCTTCGCGGGTTCAGCGCACCCCAGCCAAGTGCAAGCTTGGCTCTGTGGTAAGCGGCGCCAGCTTAGCTCCAGTTCCCCTGAATGGTCAGCAACAGAGGTGATGAGAGAAAGGCATGGCTTCGCTTGATCTTCACGGCTTCCAGATTGTTCTTGGTGCACTCTTGAACCTTGGTGTTGCCAACCCCCTGACTTCAGATCCAGTAGCACTGGTGGAGTCCACAGACTTCACAGGCTGCCTAACTGACCTCCAGGTCTAATTCTTCTGGACCACTTACGACGGCCCTGCTCCTCTCTTCAAACCCTACCTGATGCAATTGGTTAAGGAAACCACGAGGATGGTATAGACATCAGAAATGACGAGGCGGTTCTATATTTGAACATAAAGCAACGCCCAAGACATTATTAAGTAAGCAAAGTGATGCTCAGAAAAACGTATACTGTGTGCTACCTTTAGGTTTAAAACAGAGGAGGGAACTTCCCTGGCAGTCCAGTGGTTAAGACTCCGTGCTTCACATGCAGGAGGTACAGTCTACATTTCTGTGTGTTCCTGCTAAGTCGCTCAGTACTGTCCGACTCTTTGAGACACTATGGACTGTAGCCCGCCAAGCTCCTCTGCTCATGGGATTCTCCAGGCAAGAATACTGGAGCGGGTTGCCATGCCCTCCTCCAGGGGATCTTCCCGACCTAGGGATCGAACTAGCATCTGCCTGCATTTCTTGTACTGCAGGCAGATTCTTTACCCACTAAGCCACCTAGGAAGTCCTTAGATCTCTGGTCAGGGGACTGAGATCCCACATGCTGGGCAGTAGGGTCAAAATATCTTTTTTAAGAAAAGGGAAAATACGCACATACTCAACAGTAATACATACATATGCCTGCCAGTCATGGACTAGCTCTGGAAAGACACATTAAAAAATATAAAAGAACTCTCTTCTGGGGAAAAGAACTGACAGTGACAGGGAGGGTGAGATTTTGCTGTATAGCTTTTGTACCATTTGATTTTTTCCCCCCGTGAACTTGCGCTAATTTTTTAAATAATAAAAATAACATTGAAAAATTGAAATAGCTCACGGACATCTCATGGCATGACTCTCCTGAGCCTAAGAGGTGTTCTGTAAACACTGACTTCCTTGCACCGCTTATAGAGAGTGTCTCTCACCTCACCATCTATGGAGATTCACCCCGTGTGTCTTTCCTTGCTGAAACGAGAGGTTGCTCTGAGCAGTGCTGCAGACGCAATGAACAGAATAGATCAGGACATGAGCAGGTGTGCATTTATGTTAGTCAATCTGGGAGCCAATGACCCAGCTAAAGATATGGACATTGCTGTACATAAGTTTAATTGCTGAAATAGAAAGGAACGAGATATGCAATACCTTATTGTTGAAGACGGGAAGAAAGAGAGGACTTCCTTAAGTGCAGTCAGGCTGCAGGCTGGGGGGAAATATCCCCTCTGGCTGCCAGCTTTCTGTATCTCACTTCAGTTTCCCTGAAAAGAGGAGGTTTGACACAGTATGTGGGAATTTGAAATGCTATAACAACGAAAATCTCAAACGTTGAATTTTGCCTTATAGCTAAAATATTTAAGAAACATCAGTATGTGGTGTGTGTGTGTATGTTATGTTTGTGTGTGTGTGTGTGTGTGTGTGTGTGTGTACTCTAGAGCCTTAAGAATACATCTTTTAAATAAAAATAAAAAGAGTTTCCCCAGAAACCACAATGAGGAGGATATGCAATCTGGTTTAATGTATACAGGCAAATATATATATATATATATATATATTTATGGCAGGTTATAAATTTTGAGAAATATTCATACACAAATATAAAATACTCTGGTAAAAATATAACTTAAAAAAACTCATTCCTTTGAACAAGGCATATTTTTGGCTAAGTGGTTGTAGGAATAAAAGTCATATATTACAGGCTGCAGGCAGAGAAAACTAAACTGTCCTCCTACACTCTTGTAGCTTCGAAAACTTGCTCACTCTTTTCAGATCCCTCTCTCTGAATTATTCCTATGAGATTTCAGCAGCAGGACCCTAGGACTCCAGAGCATTTCTCCTCCCTCCACCTCCACTGAGATGCCCCGCCCCTACAAAGAGAGTGAGATTGCATTTGAAGGGAAATAATAGAGTAAATGGACTGTGGAGATGCACGGGGAAGAAGGAAAGACAGACAGACAGGAAGACTTTGGCCTCAGAAGCAGTTAACAATTAGCGAAATTACCGGCAATCACAAAAGGCCGCTGCACTGGTTTCCTATCTGCTTTCAAGGCTTCTGCTACAGCCTGTCTTGACCCACGGCTGCAAAATGAATAGCAGAAGAGTGATATTTCAGAAATGAAGCAAAAATCCTTTCAGACGCCTATAATACTGTAATTGTTCTCTATACGAATACTGTAATATTAAGAGCCAAGTGTTCAGCGGTCTTTTGATTCCAGGACATCTAAATGGAACAGTGTGTTGTCTTCAGGAAGGGATGCCTGCTGGCTTAGTGGTAAAGAATCCACCTGCAATGCAGGAGACACAGGTTTGATCCCTGAATCTGCATCGGGAAGATCCCCTGGAGAAGGAAGTGACAACCCACTCCAGTATTCTTGCCTGGGAAATCCCATGGACAGGGAAGCCTGGCAGGTCACAGTCCATGGGGTCACAAAGAGTCGGACAGGACTTAGCAACTAAACAGTGACGTACACTCCAAACCTCACATCCAAAGACACCAAAATAACTACCAATTTAGAGCGAACAAAGCTCATCGATACATAACTGTCATCCCTTTTAGACCAATGTGTGTTTCCTATGTTGATTAGCCCTGGCAAATAGGACATCAAGTTTTCTAGGGGGAGCTCTCCTTTTGAAATATCGGTTCGTCTGAGACTGTTTGAGAAAAGAAACAAAAGCATTTGCCTGGCTGGGATGCCTACTTACTTTTCATCACTCACGAACATCACAATCATTATAATTGCCAGGCATTTACAGACCACCTTTCCTCCCCAATCAGCTCATAAATGGTTTTGCAAATGGATTAGAAACAGCAGAGATATGGATCACTTCACACAGCACCAAAGTACAGTCACCTCAAGGGGAAGCTGGGGAACCACTGTATAAATCAGGATAACATTGGTGAAGGTTTAGGACCGACCATAAAGAATGGCTTATTAGCTTGAAGCCATGGGGAATATTAGGTAAACAGAGGACGTTCCGTTCCCTTGGCTGCAAGGTCACCGTGGCCTCGTTGGTTGTGGTCTGAGGTTAATGAATCTTGCTTCCAGTTGGCAGTGGTGTTTGTCTTCTGGAAGGAGACTGATCAAGCCAGGGCAGGGTTTCCTGGCTTCTCCGAGTCTTGCCAGCTGGGAGGCACAGATCCAAGAGAGGGATCCTGGGCTCACGTGACATGACTAAAGGACCTTCGGATGCTCACAGATTCAGCAGAGCCCAGGCACCTGCTTTCCACTGCCTTCTGCAAAGACAGTGTGGGTACTTCCCTACAGGGTCCGAAAACATGACCCACCTTGTTCTTGTGCAAAACAAGGGGGCTCATCGGCCCCGGGTGCCTCACTGGGCAGTTATCAGTGTGACTTGGAGAGTATTTGCTGTTGATATTAAAATCGCTCTAAGTCCTAGAGTCTGTCATACAGAGGTATGCATGCATGCATGCTAAGTCACTTCAGTCGTGTCCGACTCTGTGCGACCCTAAGGACCCACCAGGCTCCTCTGTCCACAGGATTCTCTAGGCAAGGATACTGGGGTGGGCTGCCATTTCCTTCTCCAACACAGAGGTAAGTAAGTCAGAAAATGGAACACAAATACTGTATGTTAATGCCTACATATGAAATCTAGAAAAATGGTACAGATGAACCTATTTGCAGGGCAGGAAGAGAGACAGAGACACAGAGAACTGGCGTGTGGATGTGGGGGCAGGGAAAGGAGAGGGTGGGATGAATCGGAGGGTGATATTGACATATATCAGGTGTAAAAGAGACAACCAGTGGGACGCTGACATACAGCGCAGAGAGCTCAGGTCAGTGCACTGTGATGACCTTGAGGGGTGGGATGGGGGACGTGGAAGGCAGGTCCAAGAGGGGGTACGTGTATATTTATGGCAGATTCACTTCAATGTACCGTCGAAGCTAACACAACTTTGCAAAGCAATTATACTGCAATAAAAAAGATAGAAATAAGAAATGCAATCGCCTCTAGAGACAGTGTCAGGAGACATTCTCCTGAGTCTCTCCATCTCCTGCGAGCCCTGCCAACCCCCCTAAAGCAGTGTGTGAGAAGAACTAAGAAACTCCTGTCAGTCTTGCTTTGCAGAGACAGAGACTCAATCTATGTTGCCTCGTCCGTGGCTATTAGAAGTGAATTTCCTCAGGGCAGTTATAAGAGATGCCAATATTTAATGAGACTTGTCCTTGATACTTACTATATATAGGTGGAGACCTTCCTCAGAGGGATTCGGTGAATTGTGCTAGAAGGTTTCACAGTTTCTCACAGTGTATTTATAATGATTGTAAGGAGCAGTACCACATACACACAGAGGAAACGTATATTTTAGAAAATATTCTGGAAACTTGAAAGGTAGCTGTGCTGGTACCCAGCTAGTAGAGAAAGTCAGCTCGGTGCTCGTCAGATGCAGAGACTCGTGTTAACAAGCAGATTCTGAGGCACTCCGTCTGGGATAAGGACCAAGGTTCTGCATTTCTGTTGTTGTTCAGTTGCTCACTTGTGTCTGACTCTTTTTGACCCCATGGACTGCAGCACGCCAGGCTCCTCTGTCTTACACCATCTCTCGAAGTTTGCTCAAACTCATGCCCACCAAGTCGACGATGCCATCCAGCCATCTCATCCTCTGTCATCCCCTCTCCTCCTGCCCTCAATCCTTCCTAGCATGAGGGTCTTTTCCAATGAGTTGGCTCATTGCATCAGGTGCACAAAGTATTGGAGCTTCAGCTTCAGCATCGGTCCTTCCAGGGAACACTCGGTGAACAGACTGGCTTCTGATGAAATCTGGTTCTCACCTCAAAGTTCCTGCCCTGAAGGTGTGGACTGGGTGTCTGCTCTGAGGGCCAGCACAACAGCCCCCGAGAAGCAGGTAAATAAAGAGCTGCTGCGGCTGTCCCTGGAATTTGAAGACATGCTCCCTCCTAGGTGGGACATGACTGAAAACTGGAAGTAACAAAATTGCACATCACTTGCATTTCTGATCAAGCCTGTGCTATCTTTCGAGGCTGTGATGCCTTCCTCTCCATAAAAACACCCTGATGTTCAGGTGTGACTATTAAGAGCTCCTAAACAGGGTTTCTCTGGTTGTTCAGTGGCAAAGACCCTGCGGTCCCAATGAAGGGGGCCTGGGTTCCACCCCTAGCTGGGGAACGGTCTCCTGCCTGGTGTGATGAGGCTTCTTCGTGCTGCAGTTTAGACCTGGCATAGCCAAATAAACTAAATTTTAAAACAGAAGAATGCTTATATCAGAGGCCAACTCTTGCACATGAAACCCAGAAATAATGGCCTGAGACTCATTTCATCTGAACTGTCGTTTCGGGGTACAGCTTGTTAATATCTTCCTCCTCGGCTCTCCAGTTTCATCGCAAAAGCCCTTTGTTGATGTGCCCCACCAAGAAGAGCCAGAAAATGTCTTGTTTACTGCCTCAGAAGTTCCTCCCACTACCTTCATCCCAGAACTCAAACAGAGAACTAAACAGCCCTGTAGTTTATGTGGAAGAATGAAATTAGCCTCAATTATTTTCTTAACAGGGAGGAAAGAGGAAAGTCAAAATCCTCCCCTGCAGTAGCAAGCCAAAATGTGGGGTGATAAACAGCCTTTCTTCCACAATGTACTTCGCTGAAGTTCAAAGTTGTTTTGTTATCACCCAAGATTCCCCCAGAGGAATTCTATAGTTTGGCAGCAAATGCTATTTGCATTTGCTCATTGAGCCACTCTCCAGTTTCCTGCAGGAGAACTTCAAAAGACCCTTGTGTGGTGCAGGAGCTAACGACTGCACTCCCTGGGAGTCCGCTCAGAAAACATCTTCCCTGCGATGACTTGCAAAAGCTCACAGCCTACCACTTGGAAAAGTCTCAGATGTGATAATTAGAGCAATAGGCATTTTCATATGACGAGGAGGCATACCTCAGTGACGGGTGTTCCAAATTCTTGTATTTCAGCACACAAAATACAGAGCCCTCACAGAAGAACACCTCCCTGCATAACATAAGGCCAGCCTGGAATTTAAGAGGGATATCAAACAGCTTTCTGAAGTACTGTACCAACTTTGGAACTCATGTCTTTCGGGCCAAAAGCTCGTGATTCGGTAGAGCAGCACGATGCTGCAGAAAGAGCATTTTCTATGCGGCAGAGACCAGAGTTGAAAACTACTCTCTAGCTCTCCAGCAGTGTGTTCTCAAAGAAGCTATCTAACCTCGCTCCATCTCTGTAATGTCATCTCTAAAATGCGGGTAATAGTGCGATGAGATCTATTTCACTGAAAGGATTGAATGAAATACAAAAAAAAAAAGTTTCTTGGGACTTCCTTGGCGGTCCAGTGGTTAAGACTCTACCCTTCCACTGCATGGTCCACGGGTCTGATCCCTGGTTGAGGAACTAAGATGCCACGCGCATGCCTCGCGGTGCAGCAAAGAAATACATTAAAAATAAATAAATAAGTTTCTTACACAGTGTATGTAGTCTCAGAGGAAGTTCCCTTTGCTTTCCAATCCTGGACCTCTTCATAATTATTTGAAATTCTTAAAAGAATAAAATAAAAAGGTGAGTCAGAAATGAAGCGATGCGATCATATTAATCCAAAGGCCAATGGATGCATGTGAAGAAAAAATAAGTTGCCTCTACCTAGTGATATAAATGATGGAGAATTTAAGAGAAACATCAGGTGTCACTCTCTTGGAGTGTGTGACATTTGTTTGTCTTGTTTTGATCTTTTTAGAGCTGGAAATCATAAGGTGATCTAGCACAAAGGTGTCCTTCAAAAAATCAAAAACTTAAATTCTGCAAAATTTACTCTGAGCAGTCAGGATAATAGTGACTGAACATGGGATGGAATCCAGTTTTTCTGATTCACACATAGTGCTACTTCTATTAAAACTTCTTCTGGTCCTTCTCCTCCTCTCCTTCTATTAAAACTCCCCCGGGAAATGACTTTGAGAATGCCTGGTCCTAGGAGATCCATGATACTCTGAACAAATAGTTGTCCTTACTTTATGACAAACTTTCAGTGTGACTTTTGCAAAACTTTTTCAATGTATCTGAATCAATGTTCTTATCAATTTCCTCTTTAGTTTATACAGTTCCCTAAATGAAGCAAAAAAAAAAGAGAGAGAGAGAGAATGCCTTTGATCAAATTAGGTAAAGTCACCAGGACAGGCATTGCTAATTGATCGCAGCATAATCATGTTGAGATCAGGCCTGACACCAGAATCTTTTTCAACACAGAACTCAACAGACACTATCAATGAGCAGTTGTGCAAAATGAAACCTATTTGTCATTTGTAGGTTGAGTGAGCTGAAAGTCTCCATGACTATGGCTGATACTGGAGAACTAACCTCGGCTTGTTTTCCATTCTGCATTACCTGTTTATAATCAGAATTTCCTCACAAGGCTAGCCCTTCACTGACAGTTATAACTGGATTAATACAGTACGGAAACCTGACCCAAGTCCTCCCAAATCTGTGTTTTCATAAGTGATTCATGTGTTTCCATTCTGGAAAATCCTTTTCAGTTGATAATAGTCCTAAAACTTAAGCAATCCTTTTTTGGGTAGATATATGATTTCCATCAAGATTTTTGAATATTGAGAGTGGCTCAAATTGCTCCAGTATGTTGTCATGATTTCTCACCCAAGTTTGGAATATGCATCCTTAGAAGGTATTCCAGAAAAGTGCCATATGAAAAATGTTCAGCAAACAAGAGCTCTCTCTGGGTTTGGTGACAGAAATGAGTGTATGGCTACACTGCTGATCGATATGTGAAAAAGTCAAATCACATTGAGGAGGGTCCCATAGAACAGCTGTGTCCCAAGAGGTCTGAAAATCCAGGAAAACAGCTTCTCTTTATAGCTGATTTGCAACTTACCAGATAGATGCTACAGAGCAGATGCACCAAAAAGATGCAGAAAGTGATTTCTGATCCCCAGGTTCCAGCTTAGAATCCCATGTCCTAGGTGACAATACCACCCACTGTAGCGGCTGCATCTCTCATACCCCAGGGACTGTCTCCTCTTCCTCAAAGTGTTGGCTCCTGACTCTTGGTTCCCTGAGCACTTGATTCCTGGTGACTTTGAAACTCACCTGGAAGATCCTCCCAACCTCTTAGATCTGTGATCCATTCTCAGATGACCTTCATTAGTACACTCTAGCCAACTCAGTTCCATTGCCAACCCCCAGGCTTTGTCCTGACAACAACAGCCATCTTTCTACATTCTAAATATCAAGCATCCTACTCCCCAGACACTCTCACTTTTTAAAATCAATCTCTTCACCAGAGGGAGCCCTACCTGATGTGCTCACTTTTTCCAACCAAGACCCACAAGCCATCATTTTTATGTTTCCTCTTCCTCTCACCCTTCTGCTTTTTTTCTTGCTCATTCAGCTTTAATTTCGTAAGCAATTATTATTGTTGTTCAGTTACTTAGTTGTGTCTGACTTTTGTGACCCCATAAACTTCGACAAGCCAGGCTTCCCTGTCCTTCACTATCTTCTGAGTTTGCTCAAGTTCATGTCCATTGAGTCAGGGATGCCATCCAACCATCTCATCTCCTGCTTCAGTTATTATAGTTCACCCTCCATCCCCTTCTCCTCTAGGTTAAACCAAAAAATGACTAAACCCAACCTGTTCCTTCCTGTGCCTACATATCAGCCATTGAACGCAACTGGAGAAAAATATACCTCTACGCTGACTAATATTTGAAATCTGTAATCACTAACCTCAGGTGTGCCCTTAATAAAGGCTGGCTATACCATTAAATTCCTTATCCATCCCCTCTCCCACTCTTCCAGATTATTGCTTCATATCTTACTGTCTCTCCTCAAATCTTACTGGTTCTCACAGTCTCCTTCTAATCCAATAGTCTTAATTCTTGCTTCAGTGGAAAAATTGACTCCAAGGCTTCCACAGGCTCCACCATCACAGCGACCCATCTCTCTTCAGGCGTCATGCTATGCTGGCTGATGCGTCCAGACTCAAGCTAACCTGCCTACTTCTACCCTGCCCCCTCTAGATAGGGAAGTCTTACTCTAAGTATTTAATCACTCTGTACCTAACTTCTCGTTTGTAAAATGGAGAGAACAGTACCTTCTCATTGGGGGTTAGATAGGGAGAATTAAAGCGGTTGATATGTGTAAAACACATAAGTAGCACCTGGCGCAGAGCAGACACCGTTTGTATTTGCTGTGATTTTCTTTCCTGCGTGTCCCACATGTCCTCTGTCTTGGCCCCTGTTCTTGTGAACGAGCAATCACCTTCCTCTGAGCACAGGGTAACTCCTCTCACTAAGCACGGGCTTTCACCCTCTCACCTACGTGAGGCCAGTGCTCCCGCAATTCACTACTTCCCACTGAATTTTCCCCCAAATGTGTAAAACGCTGGTATTTTCCTACATCCAAATCCCTTGCGGGGGATAGCAATGTCTGCCTGCCCAGGGGTCCTGTGTTCACCAGGGCTCCCTCTCATTTGCTCTCAACAGAGTGCCAAAGGGTCATGATTCATTATAGTTTTTTATTCATAGTCACATTTTTCTTTTTTTAATTTACTTTTTTGTATTGGAGTATATTTGACTTGCAATGTTGTATTAGTTTCAGGGGTACAGAAAAATAATTTAGTTATGCATGTATATACTTATTGGGGCTTCCCTCAGACAGTAAGATGTCTGCCTACAATGCAGGAGACCTGGGTTCAATCCCTGGGTGGGGAAGATCCCCTGGAGAAGGAAATGGCAGCCCACTCCAGTACTCTTGCCAGGAAAATTCCACGGATGGAGGAGCCTGGTAGGCTACAGTCCATGGGATTGCAAATAGCTGGACATGACTGAGCAACTTCACTGGTTCACTGGCTATACTTCTATCCTTTTCCAGATTCTTTCCACATATAGATTATTATGGAGTATTGAGTATGGTTCCATGTGCTGCACAGTAGGTC